GCACGATACCTGCCAAGTTTCAAGAATATCAGTGTGGGGGTTTGGGGAGGAACTGTACCCCAAATTCTTGAAAATCAAACTCATGTCACAGCTGTGTGTTACAACACAGGGGGGTCAAAACTGCAGGGTGGTGGCTCTTACTGAGGCCATGAAGCCTGCCACGTTTCAAGATTGGTGCAGGAGTTTGGGGGGAACTACCTCTCAAGCTGTGGACAAGCAACACTGGTGCCACAGGTGACACTGCGTGTGCAAAGGTGCAGTGGGGTGACAGCTGCAGGGGTAGTGGCCCCTGCTGTGACGCCTCCCAGCTGTGGAGGAGATCAGTGCAGGGGGGCTCTGGGGCCTGCACCCCACGCTGCTGATGGGCAAAACTGGTGCCAAGACTGTGTCTGTCCTGGGGCAGTTGATTGTCTGTCTTGAGTCTTTCCTCTCCTTAGCCTGGTTTTGTAGGTGCTAATTGATGCTCGTTAAGTTGTTAAGTAGTGGCTAGGTCCTGTGTATTGAGTCCCTGGTCCCTGAATCATGATGGATTGATGGTAACTGGGAACACAGCAGCTCAGCATCCAGGTCTGCAGCGGTGTCTCCCCTCCCGCCCCAGGACAGACAGTCCCACAAGCACCCATGGCACCAGTTTTGCTTGTGCACAGCTTGAGGGGCAGTTCCCTCCCAAACCCCTGCACCCATCTTGACACGTGGCAGGCTTTGTGGCCTCAGTGAGACCTACCAGCCCTGCAATTTTGACCCCCCTGTGTTGTAACATATAGATATGACAGGAGTTTTGCATTCAAGAATTTGGGGTACGGTTCCCCCCAAACCCCTGCACCAATCTTCTTGAAACTTGGCAGGCTTCATCCTCTCTGCAGAGTCTACCAGCCCTGAAAATTTCATCCAAATCGGACAAAAAAAGCCCCAAAGTTATAGATATTTCATTGTTTCCCCATTATACCCTACGGCCGGATCTCCGAGGCGGCTCCGAAGCACTTTGGGAAGGCGAATGAGGCCGGCGTTTCGACCCGGACATGCTGCTTTGGACCCCGAAGCGTCTGAAGCTTCTCCGGATCCAAAGCCTCGCACAGCCCTACTGTGCACTGCCATCACTCGCCAAAGCTGGCTGATGGTGTGACAGAAGCTGGATTACACTAGACACATCCTATACATATATTCTCCTTCTAAGATATCTACAACTTGCCCCTGAGAGAGACAAGCCTGTTATACAGCGATGGCAGACCTAGACCCACCAGACACTACAAGCCCGTTGATGGCTAAAGGAAAGCCACTCATTTACAGCTTATTCCATGAGGCAAATCATGGGCAGAGAGGCCAGGGGTGCACGTCATAGTCATGAATGCATCTAGGATTTTGAAAAGCAGGGTGCAAATGGTGTAGCACATCATCACATAGCAACACATATTCTTCTGCAGTTAAAGGGAAACTAGATGCTTTCCTAATAGCTAGGGGACTAGCACTAGATCATTCACTTCAAGGACAAAGCAAAAGCAAGTACAATTATTGCAAGGTGCACCCATTTGCTACGTTATATAAACGCTTAAAAAAACCCCCAACAAACTAGGCAAACAAATAGTCGAAATAATCAACAGATATTGGGTCATTCGTCCTGTACAGAATCCGGTTCGTAGAGACGTGGGGCTGGACGGGACCTGCAGAGATCACATCCAGTTCAAGCCCTGCCTGAGGCAGGACCAGCCCTGGCCAAACCAGCCCGGACACATCCATCATCTAAACTGTTCAAAAACTACTGTCAATCCTGACACAACACAAGACATCACACCTGCCCCTGCCCCAGGGAAAGCAGGGGGACCACGGCAGCCAACGGCCTGCTTTTGTAAAAGGTTGTTAATATATGCTCAGGAGATCCCAGGTAGATCAAAATACATGCTCAAGAGATCCAGGGAGATCCCTGTAGTTATTCTAGTTAAACAGATGTCTCTTATTCAGATGCAAAAACCATGCACCCCCCTGGATACACCTCTGCCAGAGCTCAGGGGCTGGGAGGGGGCAGTGCCAGGCCCCCGGGGCCCAATCCCAGCATTCAGGGGGCAAAAGCAGGTGGTATCAGACCCCAGGGCCCAATTCGGCTTGCAGACGGGCCCCATGCCACTCAGCTGGCCCTTGGGACCCACAGATTGAGCACGACTGCACTGAGTCCATTTGCAAACTGAATTAAGAGAGCAGAGTCCAAAGCGAGTGCCTAACGAGTGCAGTAGCTGCTTTTGCAGCCCCAAATGGCACAGAGCTCTAACAGACAGCAAAGGGACGGGTTCATTAAATTACCGTGTTCCCGGCAGAGAGGCAGAGAGCAACCAATTGATCTTAATGATGGCTAACTCACTAGATCCAGCTCAAGGCTGAGACGGGGAAATTGCAGGGGATTATTTCATTGCACTGGCTGCAGCTCTTGGCTGCGTGACACAAAGGCACAAATTTGCCTTTGATGGTGCTCTGGCCACCGGCATCCTCCTTGCTCAGCCCGCGGGGCATGTTATGCATCACAACTTGTCATCAACGGCTATATATAAATGTTGCAGCACATTTATTACCGCAAAAAGGCCTCTATGCTAGATCAGCTGGATGCTCTCTTTGCAAAGCCAACTTGGCAACCCAATGCCTTCTTTTTCTCATGTGCAGGTGAGACCAACACACTGCAGACAGGAAAGAGAGCCAAGCAGAAGAGGGGGGGAAAAATAGATTAAATAATAATAACTGCATGTTAGCTTGGAAATGTCATGGTATGTGCTTTTCTGCTCCCACCGCAGGAGGATCAGCAATGGATCCGGAAGGCAGTGGAGGAGAAATCTATCTGCCGTTGCCCCTGGAAGCCGAACGGTTTCCTTTTTAAAAAGGAGCCCTTCAAAGTTACAAGCTGCTATTTTAAAAGCATGGTGTCTAGACAGCGTGTTTGAAAGGTTATGCAGCTTAAATGCCACGGAGAACGGCTCTTGCATGCTCCAGGCAGGGGCAGACCAGCAGGAAAGATGCCAAGGCAGGAATACGACTTGGTTCCCAACTGGAGACTCGATCCCCTTGGAAGGTGTCCTGTGTCACATCCTTCGTCACCCACCACAACCCTTGGGGCCAGTCCGGGCTGATCCCAGCCAGCACCTCTTGAAAAAAAGAAACCTAGCAGAAGGTGGGAAATCCTGCTGGAGCATGGTCCTGGCCGACCGCCCAGATCCAGCCGCAAGCAGGGCCGGAGGTCGTAGGGCAGCCCATGCACCGAGCCGGCACGTTTGAGAGCCAGTCCAACAGGTTGTTAATCCCTTTGCAGGAAACCTGCAGCAGCGTCGGTGATGAACCCAGGCCGGACTCGCCGCGGGGTCAGGTGAGGGATGCAGATTCTTCCCCGAGCTGCCAGGGGCGGTGACAGGCTCCACGTTTCCCAGTGAGATCTCCAGCCTGGCTCTGCGCTTCAGGGCAGCGTCCCTAGAAATACAACTACATACTTTTGGGTCGTGGGGAACGAACAGGAAAGATGCTCCTACACCGAGGTCACTGCAAATGTCAGGTTGGGGAAATGCTGTCCCCTCCCTGCTAGTCGGGTCAGATCGGGAACGATGCAGAGGTTTCCGTCTCCCGCAGGCAGGAGATCGACCCAGGGGAACTGGAGAGGCTTGGCTGGCTCCTAAAACCTGCTAAACTGAGCAGGATGAGAGATGCTTCTCGTTCAAGTTCAGGTGTGGCCCCTGCAGAGCTCAGCACCACGCTCAGAAACAGAAATAAGCCAGCGGCTTCCCTCTTACCCTCCCCAGAGTCTGCTGGATGTTGCAGCAACCCCCCCCCCAGCATCTCCTGGCATGCCTGGGTGGAGCACATGCTATTCTTCACCTGCCAATGCAAAGCCAGAGGGAAGGAGAGCCAAGGCAGGGCCTTGCATGCACCCATGCTCACTGCCCAGAGGAGCCCGAGGTAGTCAGGATGACAGCAAAGGGCTGCTGGGACAAGACAGATACCCGGTGCTCCCCACTGTGCTGGGAAGGAGCCAAGAGCGCTGCTCATCTCTGCTCCAAGGCTGGGCCCACATGTCTCTGCAGAGAAGGACCTGCTGCCAGGCAAGTGCCTGGCCCCCAGCAGCCCCCAGTACTGGGAAGCAGACGGTCGAGCTAATGGAGCTCCAGCTCCATTGTACTGGCCCGGCCGGGGTGCCAAGGCCTGGATTCGATGGACCTGGGATGCTCCAAGACAAAGCATCATGTTCTCCAGCCCCTTCCAGCCTCCGGCACCAGGACTCCAGTAGTAACCGACCCATCTAGGGTATCTGACCCGTATCCAACCCACCTTGGGGTTCTTCCACCGGCCCCTGACAGACATTACACTTACAGCGCAACACACTGGTTAATCATGCCCGAAGGAGCAATGCGGCTGCACGTCTGTTCAATGAAACGAGGGACTAGCCACCAAGTTAACACACGCAATAAGCATATGAAAGGAAGTGCGACGGTTGGGATCGTGCACCAGACCCCAGCGTGCCTTTCATTTAATGTCTATTAGGGGCCCCGCAGACAGCATCCAAACCCTCCCCGGGAAGAAAGGCGCTGCCCCAGGAATAGAGATCAGTCCTCTGCTTTCAGGTTCAACGGAGCCACTTTCCCCTGGAGAATCCATTAGACTTTTAAAACCAAAGCACGGCTTGTCCCGGGGAAAGCAGGAACGGCCCCATGTCTGTGGCTCATTCGCTGGGTGCAACCCAGGCTTTTGCAACCCCAGGAAAGGCTCTTGCTGCCTGGAGAAGCCGCCAGCTGATTAAAATAGCACATACCCACCTCTTCACAAGTCTCTCATGCCCATACCCCCTGAAGCCCACCCAAACAAGCCCTCTCAAGCTGCTCACATAACCACCCGCAGTCCCTGCACGGCCCGCAGCACATTGCACGGACCGCAGCATGTTGCACGGACGTCAGAGGCTTAAGATCTCTGCAAATAAAGGAGGCAGCGAGCGGGCGGACGTCACTGAGCAAACACGATCTGCCCTTCCAAGATCTTACCTTCCGATACCGGCGTGATGCTGATGACTCGGAGGTTCAGGTTGGGAACGGGGACGGCGCAGATGTCCTTGCCCAGACTCTGCACCGGAGGCAGGAGGAAGGTGATCTCGTACTTGTGCAGGATCTTCAGGAAGCCCACCTGGAGGGAGGGAACAAGGCATGTTGTAGCCCACGCAGCTGCACCCGCTGGATTTAGGATGGAAAGAAACAGGAACCTGCCCCCAATGCCGTATTTCCTCGCATACAAGGCACCCCAGAATAAGATGGGCACCTTGTTTTTGAAAGACAGACTGAAGGAAAAAAGATCATAGAAAACAGAGAGAAGCGGGGCTGGCAGGGGCCCCCAGAGAGTACATCCAGTGCAAGCCCTGCCTGGGGCAGGATCAGCCCCATCCAGACCAGCGTCCAACCTCTGAGCAACACGACAGTCACCCGACAGCCCCAGGCATCGCCTTCACCCCCAGGAAAGCCACGGATGCCAATGTCCTGCTGCTGCTAGGGGGGTCATGGACACTCCGGAGACCCCCCCGGGAGAGGCCGTGCCCCTGCTGCAGAGGAAGACAACCCCTCCCAGTCCAGACCAGTATGACCAGGGGGGAAACCCTTCCTGCCCCCAATGCAGCATCATGCTGAGCCTGAGCACAGGAACAAGACCCGCCAGACAGGACCTTGCAGGATTGGTCTCAGCAGGAGCATTGGCAGCGAGAGGGAGTACGGCGCCCCAGGCCCGAAGCTCTGACCCTGCAGTTCTTCCACCAGCTCAGCACTGCCTTGAACAAGTTTGGTTGCCGCGTGTCTCAGGTTCCCCACCTGTGACCCAAGAGCGTGGGCGTGATGCTTTGACAAAAGGGACCCTACAAGGGCCAGGTAACACACAGGACTCCGGCTGGAGGACTCCCCTACTCCTCCCTCCCTGTAGTCTCCAGCATTGAGGTCCAGGCAGGGCTGGTGCAGAGCCCGTGCCCCTCACTCCCTGCCCCAGAGTCCCCGATGCCCCTTTCCTCCCAGCATGTGCCCGAGCCCTGGTGAATACAGCCGAGCTCTCAGCTCCCCCCACGTCTAGTTACAAGGGAATGGTTCAGGGCACAAACTGCTTAGAAACTACTTCGAAACTTCATAGAAAAAAAATTACCATTTTGATTTAAAAGTGTCATGATTTTTGCAATTAAAAAGAAGGGGATGGGGGGTGGGGAGGGGGGAATTGTGCATTTGGCAACTGAAAACCAAAGCATCTCTCCTCCATTTTAAATGGAAAATGTTATTTTTTTTTTAAATGAAAATGACAAAGTTCAATGGGGAAAAAAATCCTGTAAAGAACCTCCTTTAAAAGCTGGTTTGGCTGAGATTTTTATTTTCCTAGGTATTGCAAAGAACTGGTCCTCTCCCCACAACACGCACACACACAGACACGCATGCACACGCATGCCACACGCTCCAGAGAGAACGGGCCCAGCTGGGGACAGGAACGAGGCCAATTTCCAGCGGCTCGGAGCCATTTTAGGAAACAGCCCCTCAGCCACTTGCACGTGGGTGTTGCTGGACTGAAGCCCATGGAGGCCAGAAGGCCACGTACCCTTGTTTCTCTCCTTAATTGCCACCCTGCCCTGCCCGCGCCCACCTGAGCAGCCTATTCTTGCCCCAGCACCTGGCTAAGTTTAGCTCCTTGGAGAACGTTTCCACCCTGCAGCGACAAAGTCTCCCAAAGAGACACGGGTCCCTGCCCACGGAGCCACCCCCAAGGGCCGGAGCGGTGTTGTAGGCTGGAGAAAGATCTGCAGACCAATCCGAGGCAGCGTGCTGTTTCCTTGCTGAAATGCATCTCTTGTTCCTGCTGCAGCCAGGGAGGAGAGGAGTGGGAAGGAGGGGAGAGGAGATATTAATGCAACAGCATCCCCACGCAGGAGGCCTCACGGGCTATTACCTGGTCTCCAGGTACAGAGCTATCACCTGGGTGCAGCAGTCCGACCCTAAGGGGTCTGAGCTGGGGGTGTTGCAGGGGCCCTTTGCAGGGCTCCCGGGCTCTCGTGCCATTCATATCTTGGGCTGGAAATGATGCTTGCAAAGACCGGCTGGAGAGCAAATTAAAACCCCTGAAGCAGCACGGACTTCCTGGGAGCCAGCATCGCTCCCATGCAAAAAGCTGGGGGTTTCCCAGCAGTGGGGCAAAGCCGGGCGACTTCACCTGCAGCAGGGATCTCCCTTTCCTGGAGGTTTCCAAGAGGAAGCTGGAGCAGCATGAGAGCAGTGTCCTGCATCCGAGCGGGGGGTCAGCACGATGCCCCTCGAGGGTCCTGCCGGCCCTGGAGCTCTGTGAGTATGCAATGGGGCTTTGGGGAGCTCATCGATTGCTCTGCCCAACCCAAAGGAGAGCCAGGAGGAGGGATCGGGGCCCTTTCCCAGTCCTAGGGCCCTGTACTGGGGGGCCCACAGCTGGACACAGGACTCCTGATGTGGCCTCCCCAGTGCTGAATAGAGGGGAAGCATCACTGCCCTCCATCTGTTGGTAACGCTCCTCCCAATGCAGCCCAATCCCTACTAATGCAGCCTATGCTAGGGCTTTTACTTACCCATCCTAGAAATGGACACAAGCACACACACGTACACACAAAACACACATGCATGCACACCCTCATCATTACTCTCTGCAAACCTGCTCTGCATCACTTCCTGAAGCCCGTGGCAGGGCAGAGCCCGCTCTCCTTGTCCCCAGGCCTCCCGACCCCAGCACACGGCACGTGTTCGACACACAACCCTCTTTCCCCTCGAGTCAGCAGGTGCAGAGAAATGAGCCCTGCCATCTGCCAGCCGACCACGAGACAGCTGCGTTCCTTCGGTCTCGGCAGCTACGTGCCGCCCGCTGCTCCAGCATCGCATCAGCACGTTTGTTTGATCATTATGCCCATTTTTGCTGCGTTTAATTAACGGCCAAAAAACCCCAGAAAAGCATTTAACTGGTTTTCTTTCCCCTAAGGACCCACCAAGCCACAAAGCCAGTCCCAGCAGGCCCATTTTGGGCCCACGAACGTCAGAGAATAGTTTGCCAATGATTTCATAGAGAGCAGCATCGCGGCCAACACTTCAGCCTGGCCAGGATCCTAGAGGAGGGGGAAGAGGGGACTTCTAGCAGGCTGCAGGGAGAGCTGCTTCAAATAAGGAGCCTCTGAACCCCCCATCCATGGGCCTAAGGGGCGGGTTCACTTAAAAAAAGAGAGGTAGAAAAATTGAGAGAGACATGCCAAGACTTTGCCAATAATCTAGAGCACTTTTGCAGCAGGGTAACAAATTAAAAGCAATGTAAAATCAATCCTTCCTCCCTCCTGGTTTAAAAGCAACATGCAAAAAGGAAGCCACTCGAGGAATCTGTGAAGACAGGGCTTGTAAAAAGCCAAAGGACTTCCAGCCACGTTCACGTGATGTGAAACAGCGCGGTACCGACTTCGATGCCACGAAAGAGCTGGTCCTCCCGGATGCAAAGCGCATCTCCCCTGGAAAGCAGCCGCATGCATCTGCTATGAAATCTCTCCTTTGCCTAAGGTGCTCCTGTGGCAACGACTGGCACTGGAACGAACCCACTGCCAAAAGCACATCGTTTTTTAGTGCAATGTGCTCAAGGAGAAGACGCAAAAGGAGCAAGCGGAGCTCGAAACGCACGGGGCTCAGTCACGCACGGAGGAGGCTTTGTAGTCCTCAACTCCCATCAGCATGTGAGCATCAGTCAATTATTTGACTGCGGATGCTCTGAGCCACGATGCCTCCCACGGCCTGTTTGCTGGGAGACTATGTGAAGTTGGAGATGGGTGCCAGCCTCCTTTCCTCTCCCCTCATGGTGCAAGGGCCCCTCACTCAGGGAATGGGCAGATGAACATGTTATCCTGGGGTAAAAGCAGAGGACTGTGGGAATAGCAACCCCAAAAGGAGCAAGTTTGTAAGCCAAAGGGAGTGCTGTTCCTGCTCTATTCAGTGCTGGCAAGGGCTCCCCCAGAGTCCTACATCCAGTTTTGGGCCCTGCACTTTAACAAGGAGGTGGATAAATTGGAGAGAGACAAGCAGAATGATAAAAACCCAGGAGGGACCTGGGAAGCAAGACTATGAGGACCAGCTGGAAGAGCTGGGGTCATTTAGCCAAGAAAAGAGAAGACTGAGGAAGGATCTGACGGCTCCCAAACCGCCGGAGGGTGGTTACACAGAGGATGGAGATAGACTGTTCTCTGTGGCTGCATGGGACAGGACTCGGAGCAATGGTCTGACACTGCAGCAGGGGAAACTGAGGCTGGAGATGAGGAAGAACAACACGTTTGAAGGAGGTACAGAGTGGGAACAGGCTGTCCAGAGATGGGGGAAATCTCTGTTCTTGGAAGGTTTCAGCGCAGGCTGGGCAGACGCTGTCCTTCCCTTTGGGAACAGGGTGGTTTAGCAAGGGATGGTCCTGTTGGGACTGGGGTGGTTTAGCAAGGGATGGTCCTATGTGGACTGAGATGGTTTAGCAAGGGACGATCCTATCTGAACTGAGATGGTTTAGTGAAGGATGGTCCCATCTGGACTGGGATGGTTTAGTCAAAGATGGTGCTATCTGGACTGGGATGGTTTAGCAAGGGATGGTGCTATCTGGACTGAGGTGGTTTAGTGAAGGATGGTCCCATCTGGACTGGGATGGTTTAGCGCGGGATGGTGCTATCTGGAGCAGGGGCTGGACTGGATGCAACTTCCTCAATCCAACACCTAGATCAGATCAGATCTATTTTGTGTTGCTGCCTCACCTATATGAGGACCAGCCCCAGACCAGACCAGCACTGCACGAACACCCTGCTCCAGACACCTCCCCGCCTCGGGACACCCTTGCTCCCTCAATAGCCAGTGCAAGGCCAGGGATCCCCAGCACTGCCCAGCTCCCAGGACCACAGCTATGAGGCTGGCGGTGGGTGCCTCACACGTGTCAAGGAGGTCCCTGCTAGGTGGGCACCGGGAGCTCAGCTGGAGCAGGCCACGGAGAGATTTTATAAACCAGGTGGCCTCTGCACTGGATCCTGCAATGAAGAAGGAAGAAGCCATTGGGAGAGGAATAAAGAAAGTGAACAGCATCCTGGGCTGCACGAGTAGGAGCGCTGCCAGCAGATCGAGGGAAGTGATTCTTCCTTCCCT